TGGAAAATCTAACAGACAAGTATCCTCTTGCCTCTGAGTCTTTGCACATTCTGTTCCCACTGCCTGGAACAGTTTTCTCCCCTCTCTCCCTCACTTGGCCAGTACCTGTTTATCTTCAGTCTCAGCTTAGACCTCCTCAGGAACCCTTCTGTGTTTCCTTGAGCCAAGTCAAGTTCCCCTCCAGTGGTTCCCATAACTCTCTGTATGTCACCAGTCCCAAAAGTGGTCACAAAATATGTTAACTGGTTGTTTGCTGGTCTGGGACCTCACTGTAATAAACCCCATGAGGGAAGAATAGGGATCATGTCTGCCTTATTCACCTTGGCATCGTCAGGGACCTGTATAGTGCCTGGCACATAGTTGGCACTCAATTCATATGGATTTGACTGGATAGATGGGCTCAGAATGAAACATAGGCTGGGGCCAGAGAGCAGAGGCCAAGTCAGGAAAGCAGCTAAGGGAACGCGTACACATATCCATCCATGACATGGACAGATTTCCACAGTGGCCTGTAGCCCCCGTGTCCATCCTGGAACCCAGTGCTATCTATGCCTGTGAGGACTCTGCAGCAGGTCCCTGGTGCTCTGGCCTGTTAGAGAAAGAAGGAATCTTGGGGGTCATTTAGGCCAGAAGTCCACAGATAGGGCTCAGGCCTTCTCTGCCCAAGCTCTACCAGAGAGGTTCTACTTTTATTCTTTTGTATTTGTTTTTCTCAATGGGGTAGTATTTTAAAATCTGGTTCCATGAGGAGAAGGAGAAAGGTGAAAATCACCTGTGCCCTCATTTTACAAAAGGAAAAGAGACTCTGAGAAGAGAAGGGGTTTTTCTGAAGGTCAAACGGCTCAGTATTGGCATGGGAAGACCCCACATCCTCAACTCCTTACACACTTTTCAGAGGGAGGGAAGAAAATAGGGGATTGTGAATTGGAGTGAAGGGCTGAGTCTGCCTGGAGAGTCCCCAAGCCCAAGGTGCTCCTGTGACACCATCCCATCGTGGGGGATGAGCATCACATACCATTTATGCCAGCATCCTGGGAGAAAGAACTGCAGAGGGGCCCACAGGGCCTGGCCGTGGGATTTCGTGGTCACAGTCAAACACACACACACACCCCCGCACCTGCACTCATAGCTAATCCCCACCCAAACTCCTGCCTGGCCCTGATAACTGTCCCTGGGAATGTTGTCTCCTTAGGCCATGGAGGGCTGAACCAGCTGGGAGGGGCCTTTGTGAACGGCAGACCCCTGCCGGAAGTGGTCCGCCAGCGCATTGTAGACCTGGCCCACCAGGGTGTGAGGCCCTGTGACATCTCTCGCCAGCTCCGCGTCAGCCATGGCTGTGTCAGCAAGATCCTCGGCAGGTAAGCACGAAATTCACCGCGGGCTGCCTTCCCTGCAGGGCTTGACCTCTCCAGCTGACGTCAGGGCAGCTGGAGAATTCCCCTCCCGGGGAATAGGGATTTGCTCCCAATGTCCAGCTTTGGTCCTGAGACCTAAACAGTTATGGTGGTCCTTCTGGGCCTCCACCCCGCCACCATGTTTCTACTGTTTGCCCTTCCTTCTTTCTTTGTCCATTTATCCTTTTACTTTCTCCCTCTCCCTTCTTCTCTTTTGCTCTATGTCTCATTTGCTGTAGGCTGCTCTTCTTCTAAGGCAGGAGAATCTTCCCCAAAGGTCCTCCTCCTACCGAGACTTAGGGAAACTGGGCCACTAGGGAGGGGACACACAGTCAGATGAGCTCCCAAGGTCTAACCCCTACAAGAGGGACATCTGAGTTTATGCTTCTCAAACCGTAATTCCCCAAGACCCCAGATCAGCGCTTCGTAGCCCTGGCAGCACATGAGCGTCACCTGAGGAAGGCTGATTCTAAAAATAGCAATACTGTTTATGCCCCAGCCCAGACCAATTAAATCAGAACTTAAAGGAAATAGGCCCAAATTTTGGTTTATAACTCCCCAACCCGTCCGTCCCCAGCCAGAGACTCTAATTCTCTGCAGCCGGGGTTGAGAACCACTGAACCAAAGGTTCAGGAGAGACCAGGAGCAGCAAAGGCCTGCTTCTGAGCTGACACAGTCACAGATTCCAGTCTGCAAAGCCACTTCCATTAAAAACGCCTCTGTGCCAGAGCTTCCAGTCAGCTCTGTGTGCACGTGCCTGTCCCCCTGCTCTGACCCTGAGGTGGATTTAGGAGGAGGCCTGGACAAGGCAAAGGGACCTGGACTGTTCTTTGAACCGTGAAAAGCCCTGGCTCCCTTCCTGAAGTAGTTAGGGAAAGGTGTGATGCTTTGCTGGGCTTGGGAGAGGGGATTCCTGTGATGGGCTGTGGTGTCCCAGAGGAGATGAGTCCCGGATGGAAGCAACAGATGAATGGAGTTTTAAAGAGCCAGATTCTTTTTCATGCGGATGAGAGCAGACAGTTTCTACAACAAGAAGAGGAGGATATGCTGACATAGGCCGTTGATCTGCCAAAGCAACTACTTGGAGGATAAAGGGAGGGGAAGGGTGGAGGCCCCAGAAGAGGAGGCTCAGCTTAACAAGCTAGACCTGGCTGGGGATCCAAGCAAGGTCAGGATTCCAGAGTCCATGAGGAGAAGCTTCAACTTGAACCTGCTAAAACCTGATAGAAAACTAGTGACCGGGGGGTGAGGGATATGCCTCAAGCTTGGACAGGGCAGGGAGCAAAGGTGAACCAGCAAGATAGAGCAGAGGGTCCAGTGACCTCAGCTAGCTTTCTAAGTGGCCGAAGAAAACAGTCATTGGCTGGTGGCTGATGCTTGTAATCCCAGCTCTTTGGGAGGCCAAAGGCGGGCGTTTCACTTGAGGTCAGGAGTTTAAGACCAGCCAGGCCAACTCAGTGAAACCCGTCTCTACTAAAAATACAAAAATTAGCCGGATGTGGTGGCAGGTGCTTGTAATCCCAGCTACTGGGGAAGCTAAGGCAGGAGAATCGCTTGAACCCAGGAGGCAGAGTTTGAAGTGAGCCAAGATTGTCCCATGCACTCCAGCCTGGGTGACAGAGTGAGACCCTGTCTCAAAAAAAAAAAAAAAAAAAAAAAAAAAAAAAAAAAAAAAGTCGTGCTTTAGCCAAGAGAAGTTGGATAGAGCAAACTGCTGTGCCCCTGTCATTCACACATCAGGCACACCAAGATTTCCTTTCTTATAAGGGAAATCTTTTGTGTCCCATATGATGGCTGTTGCAGGTGCTAGGACACAAGAGACTGGTCAGAGGGAAGAGAGAGAGAGAAGCCAAGGTGAGGCCTTTAGCGGAGGGTGCTGGGTTGGCAGTAGCATGAACCTACCCATGCAAGGGAAACAGATAGTTCCATGCATATCAAGCATTTGAGGACAGCCTTGGGGGCACGTTTCACTCTCATACCCCTCCCCAGAGGCCTTAGAGAGGAGGGAGGCTCTGGCTAAGTCACTGTCTAAAGACCCCACCTGCTTATTGGGTAATTCTTTGGGGTTCTCTATTGGAGTAGGTACTACGAGACTGGCAGCATCCGTCCTGGAGTGATAGGGGGCTCCAAGCCCAAGGTGGCCACCCCCAAGGTGGTGGAGAAGATTGGGGACTACAAACGCCAGAACCCTACAATGTTTGCCTGGGAGATCCGAGACCGGCTCCTGGCTGAGGGCGTCTGTGACAATGACACTGTGCCCAGTGTCAGTTCCATTAATAGGTAAGAGAGAAAGCAGCCTTTGGCATCAGGCTGGGGCCCCTGGGCTTTGGGGAAATCAGGAAAGAAACAAGAAGGAACTGGCTTGGGTGGAGCAGAGGCCGGGAAGGGGCCTGATGCTGAAGAATCAGGCAGGGAGCACACCTGGCTCCAGGCAGATACCATACCTCCCTGCCTCCTGCCTTGCCCCATGCTGTGGGGCACCCTCCCCCTGGCCCCAAGCCATGGTGTGCTATCTACAGTTTCCTTCCTCAAACACCACATCCTCTTTCATTCAATAAAAGAATATTCATGAGTTGATCCTTTTCTAAGCCACCAGACCCCTAACCCGGCCCACATTCAAGCATTCACTCATTTTTTTAGTCCCTCAGTGATTCACTCACTGCCTCAATCAATCATTTACTTACTCGCTTGTTCATTAATTCATTCGCACATAATTCACTCATTCATCTTGTGCGAGGTCCTGGGGACACACAAAACCCATCTTTGCGGAGCTTACAGTTTAATGAGAACACAGATATTAATCAACTACCTACAAAAAATATTGTAAAAATACAGCTGTAAGTCCTGCTAAGAAAAGGAACATGAGGATATGCAAGCTAGCATAGGATTATTTGGTTTATGAAGGTCATGAGTCTTCCCCTGAGTAAGAAAAAATAAGAGAACTAGGTGAAAAGAGTTTAAATAGCTATGCAAAGGCCCTGTGGCTAATAGGATCAAAAGAAAACCAGTAGATAGGCCAGGTGCCGTGGCTCATGTCTGTAATCCCAGCACTTTAGGAGGCCAAGGCAGGTGGATCACCTGAGGTCAGGTGTTTGAGACCAATCTGGCCAACATGGTGAAACTCCATCTCTTCTAAAAATGCAAAAATTAACTGGGTGTGGTGGTGGGTGCCTGTAATCCCAGCTACTTGGGAGGCTGAGACAGGATAATCGCTTGAACCTGGGAGGCAGAGGTTGCAGTGAGCTGAGATCACGCCACTGCACTCCAGCCTGGGTGACAACAGTGAGACTCCATCTCAAAAAAAAAAAAAGAAGAAGAAGAAAAAGAAAACAGAAAGAAAAGAAAACCAGTAGATAGAGAGCAGGGGAGCATAAGATAGGCTGAAGTTGAAGATGTCAGCAGAGGTGGCCTTTCAGAGGCTGGGAGCTGTGTTATACCTTCTTGCGTTTGGTCATAAAGCAATGGGAAACTGTTGGCAGATTTTAAGCAGGTGGTCAACTTGCATTTCAGAAAGTCCACTGTGGCAGCAGTAGGGAGAATCACTTAGAAAGGATCAAGAGGGGATGGGCGTGGGCCAGTGAGTGACCGTGGAACAGTGGTGGTGACATGCACTAAGGTGCTGATGGAGAGAAGAAGAGAGGGGTCAACATTGGCGAGGTTCACAAGGTCAAAACACAGAACTCGATGATGGGTTTGATAGGAAAGAGAGGGAAGCAGATGTTAAGCCCCATCTCTGTTTTGGCCTTGAGCGACTGATGGTACCAATCATGAAATACAGACAACTGGGGAGGACTAGGCGTGCAGAGTAGGGTCACGGACTTTACTGTGAACAGTTGAGTTTCAAGTGCCTTTGAGATACCCAAAGGGGTGTCAAAAAGGCAACTGGGTCTGGGGCAGCCATGAGTTCTCTTTCCTCCTCTTCTCTCTCATGGCCTTTCTTCTCTTCATCACAGAATCATCCGGACCAAAGTACAGCAACCATTCAACCTCCCTATGGACAGCTGCGTGGCCACCAAGTCCCTGAGCCCCGGACACACGCTGAGTGAGTGCTGAGAGACCTGGATGCACACACATCCTTCAGTGTACCCACATATACACAGAGGCACACACAGACACACCCACACAGACACAGCTGTGCACAGTACCATTCACAAACCCATGTGTGGACTGAGCTGTGCCACTACGACAAAGTCTGGCCTGTTCCCAGGGCAGATTCACGGAACTATGGAGAGGTGCAAACATTTGAGACAGCTCTGACTCCAAGAATCCCTCCCACCAGCAGGCCCCCTGGAGGAAGGACCTGAGCCCCTTCGGGGCTCAGTCCATGGCTCGGCTTGCTGCCTCCTCCACAGAGTCAGCAGGGGCTGTGAGGGGTGTCACTCCTGCACCCTGACCCTCTCCCCGTACCCCCCGCAGTCACCCTGGAGTCACCCCAGGCCTGTGAGTGGTGTTACCCACCCCTGACTCTCTCCCTCTCCCCACTGCAGTCCCCAGCTCAGCTGTAACTCCCCCAGAGTCACCCAGGACTGAGGAGTGTCCCACCCCTGACTCTCTCCCTCTCCCCCGCTGCAGTCCCCAGCTCAGCTGTAACTCCTCCAGAGTCAC